AAACCAGTCGCTAGACATTTTAATTTACCTAATCATTCTAAGCAACATATGGCAATCTGCGGTCTTTCCTTACACTTAGGTAGCACAGAAAGCCATAAAACTCTTGAACAAAAGCTCATCTTTCAAACCGACAGTCTAAATCCCACAGGGATCAACGAACGCTTTTCATTCCACTAATTTATTCGTGTTTTTCTCATTGCCATGTTCCCACCAATAACGTAGCTCCATTTTCTACCTTTAAAAGCACACACAACCCACAATTCCTCTATTTACTCCGACGAAGGGCTAACGCTCAAAACATCAGCTTTTGTAATCGTTACGGTGGCCAACTTACCATTTCAACCTTGTTGATATATCCAAATTATTTTGTTACTCCCACCGACGCAGCCCCAAACAGTTTCTTTCGAAACTATCAGCCTTTATTACTGCCAAGTGTCCTCTGGATCTGGTTCCCTGCAAAATTATTTTTATTGCTACATTTGTTTAAAACTGTAGGTTTATTTTGACATCACACATGGCGATGAAAAGTTGGGGAGAATTGTGATTGGTCTTTTTGGGAAAACTGTGCCAAAAACCACCAAGAATTTTGCAGTTTTAGCATCTGGAGAGGTAAACATTTACTCATCCTGAGAAAAGGTTTTCATATCCTAATGGTTCCACTTGCAATTCCCCATTGGTTTTTTCTCATTGTGATCCAACAGCAGCTATTGAACAAGATGTTTTTTTTTTTCTCAAAAATGAAAATTATAAGCTTAAGTTCAGAGGGGGGAATTATTTAAAGCAAAGTAGAGTTATTTGTCACTGATGTGGGTTTTTCAAGAGAATAAAAGGTTATCACTTTGTTTTACTACATAGGCCTTTTGCATCAATTCCTAAAACACTGAGATGGAAATAATACCCAAGTAAAAACAACATGAATTTGTTAGAACCTCAAACAAATTACTGTAGTAGTACAAATAAGGCTTAGAGAGACTTTCCTGGGAATGGAGAAGTCTTACAAAAGGGTTATGTCAAAACTTAACCCTTTCACTCCCAAGATCTCATTTAGTAATTGTCCTTAGTGGCAACTGTATAATTTCTATGGTGTTAGCTTTGATAAACTGGTATTGGATTTATTAGTAATCCCCTAATTGACATTTTTTATCTTTATTCCTTTCACTTGCCTGCTTGATTTTGTATGGTTATTGTAAGGGGAAGATTTGTCTTGGTCACTCGTAGGATTTAAAGGGTTTCCATAACTAATGGGCTTATTTTGGTATAATGTTTTAGTGAAATAGGATTTTTTTTCTCTTTTTTCCAGAAAGGATTTGGCTACAAAGGAAGTAAATTTCATAGGATAATTAAAGATTTTATGATTCAAGGTGATAAATTTTAAAACTTTCATATGCTTTGTTTAATCTCCTAGAGCACAGATTTGTATATTACTTCTAACTAGGAAGAACCTTTAGCCATCAAAAAATTATACATTTTAATTAAGCAAATTGATGGAAGGGCTCTCCCCATAACAAAGTACACTTGTTAATTTTTTTCAAGGCTTACTGTATTTACCCTTGTATAATACGCACTTTTTTCCTACAAAAATAACCATCAAAATCGCGGTGTGTATTATACATGGATTCCATTGTTTGTCACGCACGTCCTAATTTGCATATGTTAAAAACACAACAAAAAAAGTATCACATTTTAAGCTTTGATTAAATAACTTATTTTCAATTAAAAATTATAGGTGCATATTAAGTTTTTACTCTAAAATCAAGAGGAAAGACAAAAATCACTAAATATTTTCGCAAGTGTCACACTCACAGCAAAACAGGCACATGGATCCATTTCCCAAGTGAACGTGCAAATTTGGCAGTGTGTGAAGAGATCTCATGTTACATGGAATTTTTCAATGAGAAGCAAGAAGAAAGTGAGCAAGAAATATTTCAGGAGAAAAGCTTTATTTAAAGCAGTTCTTTATTTGCTGTTATAAGCGAAAAACGCACAAATTTCTTACGTGTACAAAGCACACACAGTGGAATTCATCATGGTTATATTGTTGTTTACTTGACTTTGCGGCCAGAACATTGCATGGTGTTAGTTTGAAAATTCTAAAAATGCAACGATATGACACAAAATCTTCAATACTTTTCAGACATATTGTTGCTCACTCATTATATTTACTGGGTCATGGAATCGTCAAATTAGCTACACCTCACTTGAAGTCCTAAAGTTTGATATCAATAATGTCATAAATAACTAAGTAGCAAGAGATATTGATGTTACTGGTATAGTAAATTTCTTATTCTTGTTGTCTTAATAAATAATTGTACGAATATTTAACTTGTCTTTTTTGCTGTGAAAAACTTTTTTTTCTGATAAATTAGGCTAAAAACAAGGGGGTGCATTATACATGGGTGTGTATTATACATGGGTAAATACGGTATTTGTCGTAAGCATTACTGTGATTATCATCTTTTGCATGACATATAAATATGCTGGGGTTGTGGATTGTTATTGCTGATCTCAGTGGAATTTCAGAGTTAATTATGCAAGGAAAGAGAGACTGCTTATAGTGGGCACATTTTCCATAGAACCAACAAAATCATGGTACACACAACAGGCATTTGGCAGTTCTATAGCTATGTAATGGAAATCATGCTTTTATAAAAGCATAAGAAATGTTTTTTTTTTTTTGGTTTTTTATAGGGGGAGACTTCACAAGAGGAGATGGGACTGGAGGTAAGGCTGATAGCACCACTAGTTGGAAATCTGAAAGTGAAATTAATGAGAAGGATCCAGAATAATAGCACTTCAGTCTTCCCTCTTCCCTCTTTCAAAAGGGGAGTTGGACATAATAATAATTATTATCATCATCATCATCATCATCATCATCTTCATCATCATCATCATCATCATCATCATAATCATAATAATAATGTAGTATTAGACACCCTGCAAGGTGGCTCTTCCTGTCCACTGTTTCCAGGTTGAATTGGAATTGGGAAGGTTGGAACAGGTGTTTATTCATTTCTGGAGTGATTTTTAATTTTTGGAGCGAAAAACTCAACAATTATTTATTGTGAAGTCCTAAATTTAAGATTTTTAATCGCAAAGGACTTCATATACGATTATTAGTCACAAGGAGTGTTTTATTGTGATTAATAATCATGGAAAGTACGGCTATTAATCATGACTAAATCATTAATAGTCATGTTTGACGAGCTTTTAGACTTGATAATCGTACATCATTCAGTTAATAATTGCATCTGAGAGCAAATGTCCTTATTTATCGTCATTCATCATACTCCTCTCCAAAGAAAGTTCAAGCAGAACTTTGTGTGGAAAACCCAAAAGATGTTCTAAGTTAAACCTATTGGAAGATGAAATAATTTGGTACACTGTGCCAAATTTAGAGACTAAATTTTCAACGCTTTCAACTATGATGGTTGCTATAAAGCATGACAATGAGACATCTGTGAGGACATTGGTTACAAAATGGGGGTTGATATGAAGATTAGTCCACTGAGGGTATGCCCCACATCACCCTTTTGTACCCTTCCTACTCTTTCCCCCAACTCCATCCCACCCAGTCCTACAATTATTGGACCTTTAAGGGCCCTTGTAATCTTTTTCTCTGTCTGGAATATTTTTCCAAATGAAACTTATGAGAAATATAATAATTAGTTATCTATCAATCAGGCAAAAGCATCTATGGTGAAAGTTTTGATGACGAGAACTTTAAGCTGAAGCACTATGGTCCAGGCTGGCTGAGTATGGCTAATGCTGGTAAAGATACCAATGGCTCTCAGTTCTTCATCACAACTGTAAAAACTAGCTGGTTAGATGGCAAACATGTTGTGTTTGGTAAAGTTATTGAAGGAATGGTGAGTTCAGAAACATGTACTTTTGTTTTTTATTATTCAATTTCTTTATTCACTCTTTTTTAAATGAAAAAAAAAACAAAACAAAACAAAAGAAAAAAGAGGACAATCCAGGGTTTGTACTCTTTCAAGTTTAGAGCTTTAAGTGGATGTCAGTATCTGAACAACTGCCCACATACCCCTCTCCTGAGGGACATTGATTCAGAGCTTTTTGTCGTTACTGTACCTAAACTGTTCGGGAAAAAAATTCGCCCAAATTGCTAAGGGATAAGCTCGTGAAGGTTAGAATTGTTTGGCCAGTGAGACATCTAAGTTGTGATCAAACTTAGGAATTTATCTGTTAACCTCGCCATTTTTCCTATTCTTTTATTAGTTTTTACTAATCCCAGAACGGCGGAAATATATTTAAGTCACACTTGGAAAGTTAAATTCTGACACCAAAGTGGATATTCTGTAGTCAACTGTGTCATTGAGATCCAGAATCCTTGCCTTGTAATTGCATCTTATGAGGGTAAACTACCCATGCTATATTCTGACACATCACATGTCCTAAATGCAAGTAACTAAGGGCTCTTATTGGTCAGAATCATTGAGCGTAACTTACCCAGCGCTCGCAAAATAGTTACTAAGAGTAACTGTACTGTTCCTATGATAAACTTTATAGGATGTAGTACGCAAAGCAGAAAATGTAGAAGTGGACGGAAGTACTCCAAAGAAAGAAGTGAAGATCGCAGACTGCGGTATAATTGATGTCGATAAGCCCTTCAACGTGGAAAAGGAAGATCAATAATCACTGTTACTTAAGTGTGTTTTGTAATGCGCCGGGGTTTGTATTAAAATAGAGTTGTGAATTTGATTTTGAGTGCTTTTTGTTCCGGCATCATGCAAATTCCAGTACATTATTTTCATCCCAGTGATTATGAAGAAATCCAATGTTGTGTCTTCGTTATTTCGATTGTCCATTGACAGATGAGTTACCTTTCTTGTCACTCAGATAAGCCAAACTTGGTGTACGAGTAGATTCAATGGTGGATTACCACGTGTAATCCAAATCCAAATCCAAATCAACCACCCAGACAATCACTTGGCATCTGAAATCCTTCTAACTTGTATCGAAAGAAACTTGCTGGTACACCAATCACTAAAGGTGTTGGGGCAAGTAGGAGTTGTTCTGCACTGTGCATGCATGTCGGCAGTAAGGGAATGATGGGAAACATGTACTCCAGTGGATAAAGGAGGGAGGTTAGTGCTATGACGCTCATGGTCAAGGCATTGTAATCTCTAAACTGGATCACAACCTTGTGTTCGAGTAAAATACACGTAAGACTTTCAAACAAGTCTCCACTCCAAGAAGTTCAGAGGAATGTGAATGGGGAAGTCTACAAGCGAAAATCGGTTCGATTCTGGCATTGCAAAGGTCGAAGGAGAATAAATCTCAGGCGAATGAAGTTCAACCTCAACACGAGTTTTCCCGGGAACGGGTGCTTGTGCAAGAAACAGGCGCTGAATCCACGTCTCCACTTCTTCCATATCTCGAGCCAAATGACTTGCTCTTTGGTCCCCTGTACGAGTAAAAACAGGCCAGCTATTTAAGTCTGGTATGATGTTGTCGTTCTTGTCACATTTTCTGTTAATTCCAGTTCTCGAGTCGATCATTTTTCGAAGGTAAAACAGGCGCTCCCTGAATGGTGGGAAGAACGGATAATGCGAAACGAGATGTACAAAGATGTGAGACTCATACAAAAATTCCGCTTGTTGTGGTTGCTTCGAGACCTTTTCCGAACTGTCAGCAAAGTCTCTTTGCAATCGCTTCGCTCCTTGTTGTCGAAATTCGAACAAGGACGAAAAACATTGACACAAATCCCATAGCGGACCCTACCAGAGTCTTTCTCAGTCAATGTAAACGCAAACGAGTTCGCCTCACGGAGAGAAAATTTCTTTGACACCGTACTGTATCCTTCCGGCTGACAAAAGAAAACCACGTCTCCAGGGAAGGGAAAATCTTTATGGTCCCTTTGTGGAAAGCAACGTAAAAGCTCCGGCGTTTGTGTTGAGTCGATGGTCGGCCTGCGTACACCGACAACAACAAGATAATCTATCAGTCTTGCATAATCTATCAGTTCTGCATGGCGTGCGAACTTGAGCACATCGTTGTTGGCTATTTAAGTCTCGAACAAGACTTTATTATGCATAATATCCTCATAGTTGAAGAATAGAAGCTCATAGTAGAAGCCTTCATGGCTGTCTCTGTTGCTTTCTTAACTTGAATGAGAATGTTTGGTTGGTATAAACCGGCGATGAAGACTAATACGACGCGGTTTTTTAGTATTAAAAGCAATCACTGTGTCGTGTCTCCTCGCTAACATATTATAACGCAATTTCTCTGATATACCGAAAAGACTTTTGATTGTTGTCTAACAAAAGACCAATACCATATATATTTGGCCGACAAGCTGTCAGTATTCTGGTGTTTTCCATTTAAAAAGTCCTGTTGTGCAGAGGAATACGTATCCTTTTCCCGTCGTTACTAGCCAGTATCCACAAACAATTTTCTTTTATCTCACTAGCACCTTGATCTGCTACCAAAACGATAAATACTCAAATTCACGAAAAAGAAAGAATTCCTGAAGAAACAGTCGTCCCTTTCCACTTTGTGGGGGAAAAAGTTGTAATCTCCTTTCTACATCGAATTTCTTGCTTGTTTTTCATACAATCGACATTCTGCAATATGCTGGAATATGCAAGGAGTCTGAAATATGAGGCTTTGCCGAATGACCTGGAACTAAATGGCTTGCAGAGAAAGTTTCTTAGAATTCATGACCTTTCTGAGAAATATAGGTCTCCCTATTTATGATTGGACAATTCGTGTACCTGTAAACATTTCCGGTCAGTAGATGGCTTCCCATTGGATAATTGCCACTTTAAGGAGGCTTGTGTATTTACACAGTTCTGCATTAACTCAGGGTAATTTCACCGATTCTGTGTGCGAGGGTTTTGTGCTTTTTTATAATCACTTAAATTCTGAACTCTTGGTATATCAACATTGAAGTATGTCGAGTAGAAAGGTAAGTGCTAAAGCAAAAATTAGGGCTTTGAGACAAGTCAATTAGGTTGGGGAATAATGCAGTGTGTTTAATTGGGAACTCGGAGGAGGAGTCGCTTTCAAATCGTTATGTCTAATTTGCCTTAAGTATTCTGATGTTTTTCAATTACAATTGTGCATAGATTGCTTAACGATAATGCAATGCTATAACCGAACTTAGTAAAGTCTAGTGACCGAGGAACCAAGCAATTCGATATTAGCTGATTAGGTGAAATGTCACCTCCGTATTCCCGACTGACTGAAGATCATACACGAAGAAAACGCTGTTTCATCGGCAGCCGACAGGAAGAACATATTATCACTTTGACAGATGGTACAAGACATAATAAAACCCATTTCGAAATGAAAACCTTGAAAAGAAAATTACTTAATTTAGAACAAAATGACGAGTACGATCCCCCGCGGGCAAATCCCATGACCATGGTAACGTTAAAGCTGACGTCATTCTGATCGGTCGAGCGGTTCCTTATATGACGCTATAACGCTATAAACCGCTCCGCGCGGTTTATATAAAATGTTCAACCAAAATGTTAATAAATGCTACTAAAATGTTATGATTTTAGAGATTTCTCAGTTGTTCAGCTCTGAAATTATCCTAAAACAATTATTCGCCTCAGGTTCGGTGAATATTGTCGAATAATCCCCTCGACTTCGTCTCGGGGATTATTCGACGATATTCACCTCGCCTTCGGCGAATAATTGTCAAATATAGGAAAAATATTGTAGTACACGAGGACGGACAACTTCGAGCTAAGAAAGACATATACTCAAATAAAAAGTCTAAGAAAGTTTAATAAAATACGTTTCGGTCCGAGACCTTCATCAGTTGTAATACAAAGACTTACAAATTCCTTAAATAGATTTATATAGGGCGTGATGACACATATAAACAAAAACAGTAATTTACGTATATGTGCACGATCCTTCGCAGTAAAGCACTATTTAAGCAATAGTGAAAATCAGACCTGAAAAATTATTCAGGCCTGTACGGGATTCGAACCACTGACCTCTGCGATACTAGTGCAGCGCTCTACCAATTGAGCTAACAAGCCAACTGGGAGCAGGCCATCAAATTAATTCGACATAAACCCGTAGATGATAAATCAAACAACAAACATATGAAATACATATATATGAACTGCGGTTATGAAACGTATATGTGCACGATCCTTCGCAGTAAAGCACTATTTAAGCAATAGTGAAAATCAGACCTGAAAAATTATTCAGGCCTGTACGGAATTCGAACCACTGACCTCTGCGATACTAGTGCAGCGCTCTACCAATTGAGCTAACAAGCCAACTGGGAGCAGGCCATCAAATTAATTCGACATAAACCCGTAGATGATAAATCAAACAACAAACATATGAAATACATATATATGAACTGCGGTTATGAAACGTATATGTGCACGATCCTTCGCAGTAAAGCACTATTTAAGCAATAGTGAAAATCAGACCTGAAAAATTATTCAGGCCTGTACGGGATTCGAACCACTGACCTCTGCGATACTAGTGCAGCGCTCTACCAATTGAGCTAACAAGCCAACTGGGAGCAGGCCATCAAATTAATTCGACATAAACCCGTAGATGATAAATCAAACAACAAACATATGAAATACATATATATGAACTGCGGTTATGAAACGTATATGTGCACGATCCTTCGCAGTAAAGCACTATTTAAGCAATAGTGAAAATCAGACCTGAAAAAAATTCAGGCCTGTACGGGATTCGAACCACTGACCTCTGCGATACTAGTGCAGCGCTCTACCAATTGAGCTAACAAGCCAACTGGGAGCAGGCCATCAAATTAATTCGACATAAACCCGTAGATGATAAATCAAACAACAAACATATGAAATACATATATATGAACTGCGGTTATGAAACGTATATGTGCACGATCCTTCGCAGTAAAGCACTATTTAAGCAATAGTGAAAATCAGACCTGAAAAAAAATTCAGGCCTGTACGGGATTCGAACCACTGACCTCTGCGATACTAGTGCAGCGCTCTACCAATTGAGCTAACAAGCCAACTGGGAGCAGGCCATCAAATTAATTCGACATAAACCCGTAGATGATAAATCAAACAACAAACATATGAAATACATATATATGAACTGCGGTTATGAAACGTATATGTGCACGATCCTTCGCAGTAAAGCACTATTTAAGCAATAGTGAAAATCAGACCTGAAAAAAATTCAGGCCTGTACGGGATTCGAACCACTGACCTCTGCGATACTAGTGCAGCGCTCTACCAATTGAGCTAACAAGCCAACTGGGAGCAGGCCATCAAATTAATTCGACATAAACCCGTAGATGATAAATCAAACAACAAACATATGAAATACATATATATGAACTGCGGTTATGAAACGTATATGTGCACGATCCTTCGCAGTAAAGCACTATTTAAGCAATAGTGAAAATCAGACCTGAAAAAAAATTCAGGCCTGTACGGGATTCGAACCACTA